ATTGAATTCACTTAAAATAGACAACATTCAATGTTATGACTTCGAAAATTTTTACACCACTTTGCCTTTAGAAGAAATTCATGATAGCCTCCTCACTCTCCCTGAAATTTTTTCACACGTCCTTACAATAGTAACTAGAGTAAGAATGGAAACTTTTCCTCAGAAGTGTACTATTTAACAGTTATCTGCAACTTGATAACAAAATCTTTAAACTAGTCCAGGGAATACCTATGGGCAGCAATAGTTCTACAGCAATCTGTGGACTATTCCTATTCACTCAAGAATTTAAATTTATATGTTCACTGACTTAAACAAGATGAGCAAAAATATTACCAGCACGTTTTTAGATATATAGATGATGTAATTGCCTTTTAACTTCAGCAAACTAGAGCAAGGCAATATGTATATTCTACTTGCCTTAAACTTGATGCCACTAATGCACAGCAAAATGACATAATTTACCTTGATATTCAATTATTAAAATTTATGACAAACACAGAGATTTCAAATTTCACATGCTCAAGCTCACTAACTGGACTTCTAACATTTCGAAAAGGGTCATAGTTAATACTATCAATTTACAGCTTTTAAGAATAAAAAGAATCTGTAATAACACAGACCTTCTACAAGAAGCATTACTATATTTCATTAGCATCTTACAGGGCAATCAAATTCCAAAAGTAGTTATTAAAAAGTCCTTTTACCTATGATTTTAAATTGCTTGTTTTAGTAGCATGAAATATTGTACCCAAATCCCAAAGGAAGATAGATGATGGATGGCTAAAATAGGTAATCTAATGTAAAAATGTAATATAGATTCTCAGTACTCCAAACTCTTCTCTCAAAATTTGGCCTAGAACTTCAGTATATTTACTATATAATATCATATATATTTACTATATAATATCATAATTTTCTGGCCAACACTTTCCCTATTATGAATTTTAAGGGCCTTTTTCCTTTCATAAAACACTTCAAAGCCTATTAGCATGAAAAATTATGACTTTTACTAACATTTTTCTACTTTTTTCCATTTCAACTTGCTTTTAGCCAGTTTAGCAATTGCATTGCATTTTAGCCATTTTGTTTAGATAATCACTATTAGAAACGGCGATTTCTCAAACGCGCCATTTTGAAAGAGTTGCCTCCTTCCTTGTCCCCTCTCAAACCCTGTTGTTTTCTGCCTACAAGCTGGACAATACCATTGGCTTCTACAAAAGTACGTTAACATGTTTCTGTGTCATATTCCTCCAATAGATGGAATTTTAATTGTGGTAGTACTCATTAGGTCTTCATCACTTTCTGGCAGCTTTTTTTCTCATTTTCAGCTCTGTTTAATTTTAGAAAGAAATCACATTGGACGCAGGTATATTACCCTGTTTTGTTAATTACATTTCTTTACAAATTACTGTGCCTTTTGGACTTAGCAGGACCCCTCTTTGTCAATATATTTTCATTAGGATAAAGTTTTTATTTTTCACACTAAGGGGCCTGCCTCTTGAAATGATGTATATTAAAACTTACAGGATTAACACTGAATAATCTTATTGTGCATTTGCTTAACCCGGCTACTTTGTATAGGATTTTTCTTGCATCTTTTAGATGATATTTTTTCTTTTTAAGATCAAAAATTTTCTTTCTTGTTTAAAATTTATAACTTTGATCTTTTTAAGTTTTACTTTAATGTTTTAAAACACGCAAACATGTCAGGAAAAGGGACAAATCTATTGAAACATTTCTAGTAATAGATGAATTAAAAAGTTAATTACAAGGAAAGCCGTTTCCAGTCTCAATATATTTGTTCGACGAAACATGTTTGTTTTAATGGGTCATCAAAACTTGGTTGAAGGCTTCAAACACTTTTCTTTTGATAAGTTCTGTTTGTAACCTTGAACAGAGAAGATTGACCATGTTTTTATATGTGCAATATTTCTTGTTTTATGTAAATTGAATAGGTTTTTTTCACATACATATTTTGATTTTGTTGTATAGGTTTTCTATTGCTTGTATAATGGATAGGTCTTTTTCGTGTACATTTTTTGATTTAACTTAGATTTAGTTTTTATTTTTGAATTTGTTTTACATGTAATATCAGAATTAGGAAGTTTAAATGTTCTTTACGGCTTTAGCTAGTTGTCACCTCTCCTTTTCTTATAAATTTATTTTAAAATTTGCAGCTCAACAGGCAGTTTTTGACCAACTAGGTCTCACGTTTTTATGATTTACTACTTTCTACTTTTATATATAGGTAGGTATATATAGTGTTATGAAATGTCCAGCTGCAGTAAGATAGCCTCCGCACAAGGCAGGTTTAGGGTTTCAAGAAAATGGCAAGAGAAGGCAGGGTTTCCATATTTGGAGAGAAATCACCCATTTGGTGACAAAATTGGCAATATGTCATAGATGGATGGAGAACCTTCTGGAACGAATTCTTACCGGTTTGGCCCAGAATGTTCTCGCTTTATAAACCCTGCTGGTATGCAGAGAGTGAGTCAGTTAAAGAGTCAGTGAGCAAGAGTCTCTTAGTCTAGTGCCAAGTTGGTCATCGAATGCATCAAGAGAGTCTCTTAGTATATCGCGAGTTAGTTTACCGTCAAATTTTATCTTAGAGTGTGATGAGCTCTGAGAACTACCGAACTGAGTCGGGAGATGTAGTCTTGTGTATCGTCGAGCAAATCGCTAGTTGTAGTGTACGAGTCTCGAGAGTACATAGAGTTCCTAGAACGACCAAGCAGAGTTAGGAGCTGTACTCTGGTGCTTTGCCGTGCTTCATCATTAATAGCTTGATAGCCTGAAGGCTGTGTCGTTGATTATTTCAGCATGTTTATGGTAGTTCTTCGATGGCTGTAAATGTGATTTTGGAGCTATCCTGCGTAATACTGGCTAATAAACTGTGTTTCGATACTTCATCAAGTGCTATTCTCGTTATTCACTCCAAATCCACGAACCCATATGTAAGAAAAAAATAATATATATGCAATGAAAACAAAATTTAGAAGCACTGATGTCTGACCACTGAGATGTGATTGCACACCATACTAATCCATAATGATTAGGAACATTTGTATTCAAGACAGATTAAATTCTGTTTTTATTTAAATTCAAATTTGTAGTCACAATTCACGTGGCATTCTAATCGTGCCTCTTTTCAGAAAAATTACATTTTTTAATACTATTGCGATAGGAAGGGAGCACAGCGAAACAAAATGGCATCCAAGCAGTGGAGAGATACAAGCAAAGTATGCATTAATCCAACATGGAAGATTGCTAAGAGGAAGGTTTTGGTTTAGGTTCCGAATTAAGTACATCATTAAGCATTACGCATGCTCTGGCATAGATTTATCTGCAAATGATGCAGTCCAGAAATGTTATTAATTTTTTTTTAGAATAAAGAGAAAATACCCAGATTAAAAATGAAATAAAAGGTTATTATTAAATTAAATTATGAAGCTGATTTACATATTTTTATCTTACACACACGCATATATGTATGTATATCATCACAATAAAAAAAAAGGAAAAATGGGACTAAAATAATCATATTAAAATGCTTTAAGAAATAAAATAAAACCCTATTAGAGAGCATTATTCCAGACTTATGCAGTGTAACAGGATGCACCTGCCTCACCAATGGTTATGTGATTTGGACTGCTGAATGTTAGTAGTTCAACCCAGTTTTAAACTTAAGTGAACAGGCTCTTTGTATGGTTGTTTATCGTAGTTTGCCCTCCGTGTAATGTGAATATGAGTCACTTTCCCTTTGAAAGTCTTTCATGAAGTCTAAAAGAAGAGTCACTGCTCTCCTCTTAGTCTAATAGCCCTTCTGTGCTTTGCCACATTCATATAACATAATCTACCAGGCTTTTGAGTAATAATAAAATTTAGTTAATTTTGATTGGAGATTAAATCAGGTGTAAAATTTTCTTCAAAATTAATGGTTTTTTTTTTTTTTTTTTTTTTTTTTTTTTTTTGTTCTTTTTTTTGTTCTGGGCATATTAGTTTAAATTCTTACAAGATGAGGCATTCTGATTGTATTTGTAAACATTTACTATTACTAAGTTTTCATATTAACAGTTAACAGATACTTTAGATTTTCTTATGCTTTCTTGCAAGTGTTTTCCATTTTTACATTATTAATGCTTTGATACTTTAATATACTAGTAGTAAATATTTTATCTGGTCAGTGATCTAAATGAATTAGTACTACGCTTTGAGTGCTTTTATTCAGAGATTTGTATGTTTAAATGTAACCATAAATGTGTAATATAAGCTAATATGTTTAGTGATATTGCATGCAAACTAATTTTGCAGTGATATTTCTCTATTAGTCTGAAAACTGATTTTGTAATGTTTGGTGATTGAAGAAAGTATAATTACTTGAACATACACTTCCCCATTAATCATTTTCGATAAACAAAACTGTTGTTAAACAGTATGATTTAGCAATATAAATGGTTAAGCATGACATCACAGTACACTTGTAGGAACATTGCTTATGTTTCATGCAAGTCTGAAATCAGAACTTAAGAAATTAGAATTTTAATAAGTTTCAATAAGCCTGTTTAATTTCTGTAAAGAAGGATATGAGTTAACTGCTGCTATTCTGTTTCTCTGGGGGGGGGAAGAAAAAAAAAAACCCAAGGATTTAAATTTGAGCTCTGTGCTTTGTGAAACAGAGTATTTCAGTGGGGTATATTCAGAGTTACAGGATCTTGAGTGATTGGTTCATTTCAAACTTCTGCCTTAATTAGTTCAGGTTTGACACCAGCTTTCATGGTCGATGGGAAAATATTCAAGTACTTAGTAACTAATATTATTTAATATTAATTTTTCTTTTGAGATTGAATATGTATTTAAAAAAATGTGATGATGCTAACATTTATCTTCTTTATAAGGCTTTGTTTGAAAATATTGGATATCGCTTTTAACTGTAGATATTTAGTAATATTTGTTCATTTCAGTGTCCTATTTATACTCTTTTTTATTTGCTTTTCTTCTAGCCGTATTCATTATTGGCCAGTTTTATTCTTTGGTGCATTGATGGACTTCATGTGAGTATTTATTTAATTTATTTTTAAAAATTTGCCATATAAGTGCTATATTTTCCTTAATTGCTTAAAAATTTCACAAGTCACATTTATTGTGTCTTAATTTTGTGTTAGATCTTAACATCAGTATATGATTGTACAGTTATTTAATATATTCCTAAGTGCAAAATGATTCATTTATCATGTATTAAATGAGATTAATTGGCAATATAACTTTTTCTTGGTAAATTTTTTATATTCTTATTTATCTCATTAGAAGACATCCATAGGGATTATTATCTAAGAACTTAAGTGCATTAAATCAGATAAATTTTTTTCCCATACCATATCCTCTTAAAAAGAAGATATCAGAAGACCAAAATGAGTGAATTTTACTGGCAATCAAATACTCGTTATTCTTCAAGTTATGTTTTTTTTTCTTTTAATAGTGCATTAAGGGACACTTTTCTAAGCTGTTATTAAATAAACATGATTGTAAGAAACCTTGAGAAAATTCATTAAATACTATAATGTAACTATTAATTATTATATCTTACCAGTAAATAGAGGGCAAATTATTGCTTTCATCATTGTTAGCAAGTTTAAATTTTCAAGTAAATTTTACTTGCACCTAAAGGATATTTGAGTTAAATATGGTTGAATTCCATCTGTTAAGTGCATCTCTATAAATCACTTCGAGTGGGAGTATTTTAATTACAGTTACTTTGTGTTAATGTTGTGAACTATCAGCACATTAAAAGAACATCAGGTAGATTAACCACTTCACTGTCCTACAAAACTCAAATATTTGCTTCTTCTTTTCCCTCTATAGATAAGTTTTACACGTGAAAGGGCATTAGAAATATTTCTTCCTCCGTTTTATCAGCAGTTATGACCTGCTTAGAAAATTACCTTATCCTCGCCCTTCTCAGGAGAAAACTTTCTTTTGTGTTCCTTAGTCTCTTATCTGAAAATTAACAAAGATTGTTTCCTAAAAGCACTTAGTTAAATGAATAGCAATTCCATTGCGGTTATGAGCTGAATGGGGGACGGAAGTTCATTCCTGTTTCCTGTCTTCGTAAGTGAAATCACTCTTGATATAACTCCGCTGTGGAGAGAATGTAACCAGTTAAACCAACAATCATCTCTTTTTCATATTTGACCCTTCCTGGGGGATTGAAAAAAAAAAGAAATTAAAATTATAATGACAAATTAAAGTTGCTTCAGTTGTTTCTACTGACAATCTGTTTCTTTCGACTAACTGTTGGAGTTGATATAACAAAAAGTATCCTCTCCACATTTGTACTGAGAGTTGGAGTGGCAAATACATATTTGCATAGCTTTGTTAGACATGACGTCTGATCAGTGTACTTTGTATCTGCAAGTACTTTGTATAGCTGTGCACTGATTATCTTATGCAGAGTTTAACGAGAAAATGGGACAAATAATAATATAAGGCGGAATGGTGAAATACTGTGATGGTTCTGTATATATGGGATATAGGGTAAACCCTACCCAGGGTAGTGGTAGGTTAATGGTGCACATATTGCTTTGCTTATGTAGGAATTTACTAATTAAGCAGAACATGGATTGAAAACTAGTTGAATCACTGAAGAAACTGGCATGACTTTCCCTGAAAATGTTAACACTTATTGGTTATGCCAGGTCACATTTCTAGGCAATAATTTTTTAGCAACAGAACATCACCAGTGACATTTTGATAGTCTTTATGTGTCCCTTATCTTTAGTTTTTTTGTTTTTAAAACACTCATTTGCATTTTTCTCTCTCACCTTTCAGAATATCACTTTTTGCTTTTGCTGTACTTTAGATGCTAAACTCGTAATTAATAATGTGAATTATGTAAAACTAACAGAATTTGCTACCAGTGGAACCAAATGCTCATACATGTATTTAAAGACTTTGTCGCCCACCTTTGCCGAGTGGTAAGATTCTGAACACTGGCAGTTCAACTCTAGTTAAAATCCTGGGAAATGGTACAGCTTTGTGGCAGTTTACATGATTTGCTTCTTGCTTAATGTGAATGTGAGCAACTTTCGTTTAAAAATGTCTTCCACCAAGATATCCATACTTTTAGGTTGATAGCCCTTGCATGCTCAGTCAATCCAGATAATGCAATCCTAGAGTTTGGTAGAGTTGTCAGCAATAATTGGAAATATTTTATCGCCAAGAAAATATGACTCTGTGTAAATCAGTAAGTGACAGTTTTCAACAGGAATCGGCTATCTGGTAGAAAATAGAAGAATAGTTATCCATCAATTATTGCACTTTCAGCCCCACCAGTAACTGAGCTATTAAATACTGCTAAGTACATGGAGTTCTTGGGTTGTAACCCGGGTAATAGGCTGGCTGCATGTCTAATTTTAGCAGTTTTACCCAGTATATAATGTGAATGCAAGCCAGTTTACCTTGAAAAGCCCTCCACAAAGATATCTCTCCCCTTAAGCTGATAGCTCTCATGTTGTTTATGTCCTCATGTTGTCACTTTCCAGTTATTTTTATTTTTCACTTTATGTAATTAATAAAATTACAATGCAAAGGATAAAAAATTATATCATAATCTGGAAACATAAAACATTATACCTGTAGTAGTGAAAAGGCAGTATTTCCAAGCTAGAATTTTAGGGCCCACCAGCGGCCGAGCGGTAAAGACGCTGAACACTGGTAGTTCGGTCTGAGGTTCGAATCCCGCGAACGGGCTGGCTGCATGGGCGTTTTCGTGGTTTTCCCCATGTGTAACGTGTATACGAGCCAGTTTCCCTTAGAAAGTCCTCCACGAAAGGCATCCCTCCCTTTAGGCAGATAGCCCTCGTGTGCTTTGCCATAATTAAATACACCAACACCAACACCAAGCTAGAATTTTTTTTTGTTTTTTAGACATAACTTAAATTTCCATGAAATTGAATGTGCTCATAAGCTTCATTAGAATTAGTCTTCATTAGAATTAATAGAAAAATATTCTTTTTCAGGTATACTGTTTGCTATGTGTCATTTCTCAATATCAAGTGCTTAAAGAGTTGCAAGAACCACGCTTCATTATTTTACATCCATAGTTAAAGATGTTTTAAAATGTTTTATTGTTTAGAGGATGGATTTTATATTGAATAACTTTTATTGTTGTCTTCGAATCTTTGATTCTATTAAAGTAGAAAACTAATGAATCTTTTAAATTTGTAATCAAGGGCAATTTTTATAAGTGCAACTTGCATCATATGTATATTGTAAATATTGTTATATTTTTGGTTACAGTAAACCCTTGCTGAGTGCAGATTTGCAAAATGCTGTTTCATGTGTACGAGTTATTTTAATTGTGTGCACTTAATTTGCCTGCTGCTAAAATTTCATTCATATGTGATTCAGTATTCATTCGTCAACATTGGAACGCTCACTGCCATTGAGTTTGCCTGGAAGTTATCAACAATTTTGAAGGATTTCCATCGATTGAAAGTAAAGCCAAAGAAATTGGCCAAATTGCAAAAGTACTTGCAGATGAAGGTTTTTCAGATGTGGAAAAAGGAGATGTCAGAGAATTAATCGAGAAATAACAAATGAAGAATTAGGTGATCATATAACATCAGCCAATAGTGAAAGCAGTGATAATGAACAAGATTAAATGCCATTAGCTTACAAGAAGTTAAACAAAATGGTAAAGAAAGGCACAGGAACTATTGACCCAAAATGAAGAAAGCGGAGTAAATTTTATGAGAGGCATTGAAAAACTGTACCCTTCTTAGCGCAAAACTCTCACAGAGTTGCACCAGTCCTTGTCCTAAGCAGAAATCACTAGCATGTTAAAAAAATAGTAGTATTATGTACTTATTAAACAGTAATGATTTTCCCTCCAATTAATGCTTGTTTTATTTTTTCCTTTTAATTATAAAAGCATTTAGTTTTGTTTAAGTCATATATATATATATTACTAATTTGAATTACATGTAACGCACTTCTTCTGTAGAAAGTCAACTTTGTGGAATGCGATTTTGCTGAGGCACAATATATTAATAGCATAACCCCCACATTCATCAAGGGTTAACTGTACAGTATTCACTTGTTCTAAATCATAAATGGTTTCTGCGTTTTTAGAAAAGCAAGGTTAAAAATCTGCTCAAATTAAACATTCAGAATCAAATGTTTTTCACCTTTTTAATTTGAAAGTGACTACATTTTTTCTGTCTTTTATGTTAACTTGCATTCTGAATTTATGACATGAATCCCAAATGTACATATTGCTGAAGTGCTAGGGTTTTTTGAAATTTTGACTTTATGCTTCAAATTTCCTGTTTAAAACATATAAGAAAGAATATTCCACTTGAAATTAGAACTTAAAGAGTTATTATATCTGAAAAATAAAATATGACAGTACTGTGAAAATACATATTCTTTAACTGCTTATTAAATAATGAGAGCTTCTGATCATAATTTAAATGGCTTAGATCTAAAGTGTAGATCAGAGAAATTTAAAAACAATATACTCAGTCACAGAAAATCTCTTGTCTAATTATTATGCGACTTAAGCATTGAATAATAGCATCCATCATATTTATACTTTGCAGAATATGTAAAGTATCACATTAAAATGATCATTAACATTTTGACCTCCATCATTATCATAATGTTGTCGTCAGGTTGCCTGATGGGAATTAAAAAAACTGATATTCAAACTCTGGTAGGATATTATCATATCACTTTCATTATATTTTCATAAGTGTTCTTTTGTACTGATTGTTACTTGTTCCATATTAATTTTACTATTGTGATAGTTAACAAGTGTATAATAAAATCTAAAAATCCGATTATCTTTTGTATTGTTTTAAGTATACTATTAATTAGTGTAAGGGTATTTCATGTCATTTTCATGAACTTACAACTGTAAGGTATTTCTAGATCTGTGTGTGCTTGAGTGATGCTAGGATTTTAGCATTTGTATTTGATATTTAGGTATTTGTGTCATGTTTCAGTCTTTTTGACAGTAGAATAAATGTGCATCTTTTAGCTGTTATTCTCTGTTATGGAGAAGAGTTGTATGTTTATTTGTTGTTCATTTTATGTACTACTATTATTATCAATTATTTTTATGTGCTAATGTGCAGTCCCCCCCTTTTGAATTGCTAATGCATTTATATATTATTATTTTTAATGCAATTTTCTCTTTATAGTTTTTATATATTTTCTTTTTATTTTGTTCAAAAATTGTTGGTAAAATTTTGAGCTTTAATAGTTTTAACATTTTTCTGTTGCAAAGGGGCAGTGATATATATATGTATTTGTTATTTTCCCTCTTTGAAAAGTTTAACTCTTTGATAAAACAATTATTCAGAAACATAATGAATTTGTTAGTTAAATATGTATTCATTTTATGTGGGATATTGTTCTGGTTTCATTTCTAAAAGTGTGTGTTATTTAATGAATACTATTAAATGAGATTTTCATAGTATTGGTGTATTTATTTTGCATAACACACATTCCACATTCTACAATAAACTATTGTAAATCTATCTTTCAAGAATTATATAAAATTTTTCATGTATTTATTTAAATCATGGCCTGTTTTGAAAAATATATTTCACATTTGAGTTTGACATCCTTTAGTGGCGTATTGTGAGTACTTGGTATCAGATTGATATCAGATCAGCAGAATTTGATTAATTATATGATAGTTATTATGATAGATTATTTCACACAAAAACATGATCAGATGCAAATATTTTGTGGTGGTGGTGGGAAATTGAAATGACAGTTTGTAGAGACATTAGGTTAATTGGAAAAGCCGGAGAGAGGAAAAATTAGCAAACGCCTTCGCCAGGAATCGAACCACGGACCTCTGGAATACCGGCCCAGCGTGCAGAACCACTACACCACGAAGACACGCTAGGAAAGCGGGAGAAATACCTTATAAGTTTTTAACAAATTAACAGGATTAAAATGCATTATTTATCATGTACTGGGGAATATAAATCATGTCAGCAAAATGTAGCAGTATTGTTAAGAATAATATAGAATTATGGATGTTTATTGAAGAATAAGGCTTGAATGAAAGTTTGGGAAACATTTATCTCATGCATAAGAAATTAATTATTAGGAGCTATGGAATGATTATGAATCATTAAAATGGTATGAAGAGATAATGTCAATAATGTATATGAATCATTAGAGATTTACTAACAGCAAAATGGTACTAAACAGCAAAAGTTAAGATATATCATGAATTTTTTATGTATTGAAATTGATGCGTTAATTTCACTTACTCAGCTTCGTACCTAACAAACACATTTTGTTTTCATCATACAATTGAGTTGCCTTTTTAGAGATATCTAATTCTCTTCTTTTTTTTCAGCATACTGGTCATGCATAATATAGCTTTTATGTTGGAAGTCTTCATCTATTTGCCTTCGCACTCCTGTCGTTCCACTTAAAAACCTCAATTTATTCTTTTGTTTTTCTCTGCACTCCACAAGTTTGCTTCTCCAGATCGGCTGTTCGTTGAACTGGAGTACTTAAGAGCAACATTGTTGGTCACATTTTGCGTTTATTTATGACTAATATTATTAAAAATCATCCACCATTGGGGAATTAGAACTCCTAGAGGCATTTCATATAAAAAAATCTTTTTGAGTTCTGGTTGAAGTTGCCAATTCTATTCTGTCTTTACCTTCAACTTTTAAAGAAAGTATGTCATAGTTACTTTCCTTTATTGTTAATAGATTGTGGCAGAAGCTTTGTTTCCACTTCTGTAGCTGGAATAATCTCGAATTTGTTGTCTCTTGCTATTAAGCACATTTTCCGTCTGAAATTTTCATTTCTGCAGCTGAAGAAGGTTTTGTTTAACACTAGATTGCCCAAAGGAAGTCATTTTGACTGCTTTTTAATTTCAGTTAGAAAAACAATTATGTATACAGTCAAAAGTCTTTAATCCGGACTCGTCGGGACTTCGGCAATTCCAGATTATCGGTTTTTCCGAATTATAGATCATCAGTTTATACCTGGTAAGATGGCATGCAGAAATTATAAAATAAAAAATATGACTGTAATTTATGAAATAGAGAGCAATTATCTAAAGGGTATCAAAATTTACAAAAAAAAAAAAAAATGCTTAATATTTATTTGTTTACTTTATTAAACATTTCTTTCAACGTGCACATGCATAAAGCATACATTACGCATAGTCGAAATTAGAAAATTGCAACCGCAAACTATTTTATGTGTATTCATGATATTTATAATGAGGAATTTGATTTAAATCATATCAAAGATGGAGTACATCGAGATGAAATACTACATTTAGTAAGGAATTATAAACCAAATAAAATAAAAACATCTGCCCTGAAGATAAGGATAGTGCTGACAGATCAACTTCCAGTTCATTGCGTGCCCCCCTCCCCCGCAGTGCAGCGTGAAATTGATAAACAGATTTTGGAATGGTTAGAGAAACAAAGGATATGCCTCTTTATCTATTTTTTTGCAGCAATTCCACTTTTTGTTTGATGGACATCAAAACATGCTTTCGCTTTGTAGATCATTTGGCAGCTCCAGAATTGGAAATTCTTTTTGACATAATCGAAAGTTCAAGCTTACTTTTATAAAATTGCTCTAACAGTCTACAAAAAATAATAAGCCGGATCCAATTAGAAGGTTTAGGAACAACACGATCTGCAACATTAACTGAAATAGATAATTAGATAATTTTAGCTTAGCTCATACCGTCTGCTATACATTAAATGCACATGCGTAAACGCAATATGCGTTTATGCATGCACAGAAAGTTTGTAGCTTTGAGGTCCGGATTATGGACGTTCGGATTAAAGACTTTTGACTGTATAAGGAATTCACATACAATTTCTTAGAATTTTGTGACTTTTTGTATATATAAATGGCACAGAAAGTTTGTAGCTTTGAGGTCCGGATTATGGACGTTCGGATTAAAGACTTTTGACTGTATAAGGAATTCACATACGATTTCTTAGAATTTTGTGACTTTTTGTATATATAAATGCATTTATTAATAATTGTAGTTACACCCTTCTTTCATTTCCAGTATATACGATATGTGTTATACCTATATTGCCCAAAAGCAGCCATTTAGACTGCTTGGGAATTTTTAAATCAAATGACTTTTATTATTGAGTAAAATTCTTATATGACCAGTTCGACTCTGTACTGAAATAAATTTTCATTTTTTTTTCGATTACTGTCGCATGATAACAAACAAGTACGTGATAAATTGTCATTTTTGGCGTATACTTTATAAGTTGCAGTTTCTCAATAAGGTAAAGTAGTACTTGTTATTCGAATCACGGTGAACACATTATTCTGAAACTTATCGAGCCATATACAAGCTGTGGAAGAAATATGACCGATAACGTTTTTGCTAGCATGTCACTCGCAACAAAATTATTGCCCCCCCCACCAAAAAAAAAAAAAAAAAAACTCTAGTTGGAACTATTAAAGGAAACAAAAGAGAACTACTGAAATCAGCCAAACGAAGGATAACATGCCTCGTTTTTCTACTCTGCTATATAAATCAGAGAATTGTGTTCTTACAATATACAAGAGCAAACCAAATAGAAGAGTAGCTGTACTAAGCATTAAATTTGTGAAAATTGATAAAAATAATGATAAAATGTTACTGGAATGTATTCAATTTTATAACAGCACAAAATTTGGAGTTGATATGGTGGATTAAATGGCCAGAAAATGTACAGTAAAAGCTAGTTCTCGTAGATGGCCCCTCCAAATATTTTTCAATACTTTAGATTTCGTTGCTATAAATGCTTGGATCTTTTACAAAGAAACAACAGGTATACAAATACAATGAAAAGAGTTCTTGTTTCAATTAGCAGAACAGCTTTAAACTGAACACAGAGCTGCAAGACAGAAAATGTCATCAGAACATGGAGATCCACAAAGATCAACTGCAACATCATCAAATGCAACCCATTCTAATAAACTCAAAATTTGTCAAGTACGACTTTGCCACTACAACAAAACAAATAATATATGTGAAAAATGTCAAAAGTATGTCTGCGAAAGATGTACACATAAAAAAGATTTCCACTTTCATTTGCCAAAAATGTACAAATAATAATGCAGAAATAATTTTTTTTCCAAGTGAAGTAACTTTTTTATTGTTAATATTTACTAATAACTTGTTATATAACTGTAAGTAATATAAAAATATTAAAAATAAATTTTAAACAAATTTCTTTACACATTAGTTATTCTTTCACAATGTTTTGGGCAATAGGTATATACTAAGTTTCAGTCTTTCTGGTGTTAAACTTCGAAATTATAGTCTGACAAATTAACGGCTATTATACTGATTCTTATTGCTGTATCTTTAATGTTATAATGATTAAAGGTTTACTTAAAGAAGTATTTCCTTTTAAGAACTTGCATGTTAATTAGAATCGCATCACTTAAAAAACCTGCCGGAAGTTTTCAAGTTCATAAATGAAACCTTAGAAAAAACCTTAGAAATGCTGAGTTTTCTTGTCGGCATGACAAGCAATGATCAAATTTTTTACAATTAATAGTACCAAAGAATTATTTCTAATATCTATTAAAAATACTAATTATTGAAGAAACATTTTAATTCAACAACCTACAAGATTATGAATGTAAAATGATACTTGTAACAAATTAGAAAATTTGAAATTGTATTTTTCAGACAGCAAAGTATGGAAGGTTTTAAATCTTTAAGCTTTTAAAATTTAAATGTTTTTAAGTAATTCTTAATTGAAAAATCATTTATTTTTTACTAGAATAATATTACTCATTTGCATGGCAAAATATGATTTTTTGCATAGGAAAGTGATGTAATTTAGTGCTGTTTCATTTTATAAGTATTTAGCTCCTCTTAGTGTTTGCCATCAATTTTTAACATATTTCCTGATAAGCTTCTGGCTCAAATTTTGCTCATAAAGTATTTGTGGACGGTAAAATGAGCGATTTTTTTTTCAAAATTCGATTTATATTATTTTTAATTTAATTTTGAAAGGAGTTTCCACACATATCTTTGTTTCACGAAAAAACTAAAAGTCTCAGAATTTTACTGTGTGCATCATCGAATAGAGCAGAAAAAAATCTTTTAAAGTTGAAACTTGTATGAAATTTTTAACATAATTTATGATTATTCGGCGAATTTTTGAAAGTCGCTTGATTTTTTCGACTCTTCAAGCCTGTTTTAACATTTCAATATCTAAAAATTTATCTGCTAAAGACTTTTGAAATTTTCCCAGATTTTAAGACAAACTCTTTAACCCTCTTTTAAAACAAGAATGATAAATAGATATTGAACAGACGATTTTCTAAGTCTACTACCCATATTTCTTTCCCTCTTTTTTATGGATAGATTTTGCATTTACTACTCGTTTCTTTTCATTAATTTCAAAAACAGTCGAATTCAAATATCGATTAGAGTTTAAAACTGTTTCTAATGAAATCTTCCATACCACTTTTAATTTTCCCCGTCTCTAAGTTGGAATGCCATCCAAGTTAGTTTTTAAGATCAAATCCGCGAATTTCTTATGCCATATAATATGCATATAATGGGAAATTAGAAATAATGTATTTTATTGCATGTTTATAAATAGCAACAGAATTGTTGGATGTAAAAGAGTGATTATTCATTGTGAAAACGATTTTTCAATTGAATAATTTCATTAATAATGAATAAACTAAAAAGAAGAAATATACGTATAAAATGCAGTGTGTTTATAAAGTAAGCTTTTGTTTAAACTTTAAAAAATAATTAAATGAAATTAAAATCAGGTTTTGGTTTGGCATTTTTTGATTATGGTAAAGGGTTTTCGAAGGGAAACTGGCTTGTGTTTGCATTACACATGAGGAAAACCATAAAAATGCCCATGGAGGCAGCCAGATTGCTGGGATTCAAAATGCCAGTACTCAGGGACTTTGCCACTCGGATGCTGGTTAGTCTGAACTAAAAGTAAAACAATTTATCATAATTTAATGGTAACAGTAGATTAAATAATTCTCTTCACAGAATTTATCTACAGTTTTATATCATGAATAATAAAAGTGTGGGAGCGTGAAAAACGAAATCTAATAATTAATTGTATTGGCAAAAGTATAAGCCATTATTTTTATAAATTTATGAAGAGTGCCTCACACATCTATTATTTGTAATTCTGTACAGAATGTGGTCTTTATAAAATTGTAAATTTTGTAAAGAAAATTGTTTAAACTCGCATTCCTATGAAATTGTATGATACATTATTTTCTTCCTTTTAGTTCATAAATTATTTTATGAACTTAAAATAAATACTAAAAGCTTTTTTATATTTCTTTCACATAGAGAAAAAGGAAAGTTATTGAGTTTGGGCATGTGTTCATAAAGCCTGTAAACAGTTAATATTTGCAATGGTTTTCTTTCTGAAGGAAGAGTTCATGCCTTATTATTTATGCTTGTTTCTTTTGCATGAAAATTCTTAAATCTAAGTAGTTTTAAAATATTAGATATATTTATAAAGGAAAATTTATACGCAATAAAAAGTAATTTGCGTTTTTGCTGTTCATATTCATTGTGAAATTTAGTTAGTGCTAAACAGTTACCGACTTCTAATACTTGAGAAAATTTGGAAAATAATTCATTTAAATTTGAGTTATTTCTGTAGCTGGTGTGACATCTCTTCTATGTGGTTTTCTCTGAAATACTGAATGCTTTTAATTTTGTCTGGTATTCGCTTTCTAAGCAGTACGTTAAAGGAGTTTCAATAGGTGTAATGTAGCCAGAACGACTTCGAAATCTTTCTACAAAAGTCCCTGTTGTGTTGTAACATGAAAACTTCTTTAATCATTATTCACACGATGTTAGATAGTCTGTAATGTGCTTGTCATTCTTTTTAGAATTATAAAGAATATTATATGAAGTAAGCGGAATATAAAGCTTGATGGTTTGATCTTTAAAGGCATTTGCGCACAGAAATATTACTCTCAATTTTAGAGTAATGCAGTTAATTTTAATTAAACATTAATTTTTGGATGTAAGTTATTATTGCTATTTAAATATTGTGTCTAATTTTTTAAAAAAATTCTGCCACTCGGTATAGGGAAATAGGAATTTATTGAAATTTCAGGAAGAATATCTGGAGTAAGCAGTGATTTATGGTAAACACACAGTGGATACCAAAAATGTTAGGTCAATGCTTCGAAAATGCTGGCGCGGATTTACACACAAGAAATATATGTATGTTATATATCAACATAAATATTATCTCAAAGGGAATGAAAATTGCTTAAAGTTGTTTCTAAAATCGATTTGCATCAGCAATGATTTCGCTTAGGCACTTCATAGAGAGCTGCGTTCTGGACTTTCTATATATTTGGTGTCGGGCTGAGGTGGAGCTTTCCGCTCACCTGGAAAGAAGGCATCTTCTTCATCTGGAATATCATCTAAAATTTGCCCTCTTGAATTCACAACAGAAATTGATTTCTGGTAGCTGAATAACTGGCGCTCCAAGCTGTAATTTTCTGCTTGTAAAGCCATGATTTCTCGCCTGGAAAGAAATCTGTATATGTAAAAATACACATATTACTTACTATTATACATGTTATACAACATTGGTATATGTGTAACATATTTGTACGAACATCGAATTAAATGATACTCGAAACAAAATTCATAAGATTCAGAAATGCGTAATTTAAGAGTTATGAGATGCTGAAGATTAATAATAAGCATAAAATGTAGAAGAGTTACGCCTGTCCTCATTCTCTTATCACTGAGTCTCCTGGGACGAACTCGGCGGTTTTAAGTATTTGCTATCATTATATTTTTTTCGTCACGAATTTCGGCAGCATGTTGAGGAAGTTGCCCAACGGATCCGCAATACTCAAGGTGTCTTGGAACGTGTTCGTCCTGCTTTAAGATGACAATATGCCGCTTATGTTATTGGTGACAGGTCGCATTTCGAGCACTAACTGTAACATCTGTATACATCTGTAATCGTTTCTTATTCTCTTTATAATGTCTTACATAAGGAAGGTTGTGCATGTTGCACCCATAGTTTGGCAACGTACTACAGTACCAACGTCAAATTCACATTTACTGATAAACTGTATACGCCGTCTCTTTATCATAGCATCATGGAATCCTGTCGGATAATAGTTTCTGTGCTGAATTCCACGATTCTTCCTTTTGTTTACGGGGCAGGCAGTTATAGCCTTCCCCGTAAACAAAAGGAATTCTTTAGTTAGTCCTCTTAGTTAATTTGTTATTTATGTTCCTTGTTTTGTATCTCATAAGCTATGCGTTCCCCATTTTACGTTCGTAAGACATTTGTTGTTCATTGTCGATGATATTCAAGAGTTGGTGGAGGAAACATGGTCAGAAATTGATCATGTCCACCACGTTCATCCAATCCACAAAATGGTCAGAATCTGACCATTTTATGACTGATTAACCGAAGAACGGATGGATCTGCCACACCAGTAAACGCAAGAGGTTGTGGAAGAGGTCTAGTCTGAGAGGAAGAGAAAAAGATGGAGGCATCTATAACTTCAAATTAGGTTAGGTAGTTGTATAAAACGTGGAAACTGCAGAATTTTGTAGAAAAGCACGACCTGAATAAAACTATAGCCATGCGAACGGTGAATTTACACTCATGTCCATAAATTAAGGATAATTCGGAGTCACGCGGAAATCGAACTCTAAAATAAATATATCACCTGTAAAATCACTACACACATCTTCAAGAATCATATGCAAGTTTCAGGAAGTAACCAGATGACACCGATGGTACGTCACAATGACGAGAGTGTAAGAGAGTGATATATAAGGAATACAGGCAAAGAAGTAAAATTGTTCGCAGGCGCTTTATAAGCATTTCAGTGCAATAACCGAATAGTTATGACACAAAGGATGCATTTGGATGATTTTTTACGTGGTAGAATTATCAGCCGTCTGGAACGTGGGCGTACCCAACTGGAAGTATCAGACGAACGTGTAATTGCCCAGAGTGTCCTCTCCAGGCTTTGGCAACGATTCCAAGGTGATGGTAATGTGAGTAAACGTTACGGCACAGGTGGCACCAGAGTTACAACGCCGAATGAGGACCGGTATTTGGCAGTTACTGCCAAAAAAAAAAAAAAAAAAAAAAAAAAAACAGGCGGAGCACAGACTCAGACCTGTCTCGTCAGCACTCTTCAGCCACTGGTACGGCAATTTCAAGCCAGACCGTGTACAGACGCTTCGGCAAATTGGTCTCTATGCTCATAGACCTGTCAGATGCGTACTGCAACTCACTGTCGCCTGCGGTTAGCCTGGAGTAGAGAGCATGCATTGTGGACACCGCAACAGTGGGCTAGTGTGATGTTTTCCGACGAGTCCAGGTTTAACTTACAGTCTGATTCTCGCTAGACTTTCATATGGAGAGCTCCAGGTACCCGTTACCACCAAGAAAACATCATTTATCGACACCGTTACGGTGGTGCAGGAGTGCTCCTTTGGGGTGGAATTATCCTGGGTTCCAGAACTGACCTGCATGTTCAAATTGGAACCATGACAAGCCAAATCTATTGGGACGTCATTCTAGAACAACATTTTCGTTTGTTTCGGGGCGCCATGGACGCACAATTTGTGTTTATGGATGACAACTCCCGTCCTCACCGTGCAAACATCGTAAGCGAATGCCTTCAATCGGAGGATATCACCCGTGTGGACTGGCCAGCATTCTCACCGGACTTGAATCCAGTAGAGCACGTGTGGGACATACTTGGCCGACGAGTTGCAGCCCGTCAACCTCCTCCTACATGTCTTACCGGAACTTCGGAGAGCATTGCTTTTTGAGTGGTGTAATATCCCCCAAGATCAGATCGATAATTTGATATTCAGCATGCCTAGGCGTTGTACGGACTGTATTGCATCGTCTGGGAGACATACAATGTACTAACAAGCATACCAACCATGTAATATTGGTTTTTTGTAAATAGGGATTTTTTGTAATTTGCTCCCGGGAGAAAAATCGCTAATTTTTTTTAATAATATCAAACATATAGCATCGTTTTTTGCTCTTTACCTTTTGTTTAATAAATAAGCTTTACAAATAAGTCAAATTTGTTTTGCTTCTAACTCTTCCTTTGCCTGATTTTGCATTATCCTTAATTTATGGACATGAGTGTATTTAACAACAATGCAATATCACATTTCTATGAAATCCTGAAAAGGAGGCAAAAGCAACTGTCATTAGGTTCGTTAAAGTGGCAGGAAGAGAAAGATTCAAGTGAGTTAACAGATAGCAGCTTTCCGTTAGTTAGCCGTGATTTTTTTTCAATGGTAAAACGCAGATTAATTTGTTTTTAAGTATTTTTATTTTATATTTTGTATTAATTATTTTTTATGAATATTTTGGCTTGCGGAATGAATCCTCTGACTTTCCATTATTTCTTTAGGGGTGGTTCGCTTAGATATATGTCTGCTTTGGATTGTGAGGAGATTTCTGAAATAAATTATGCCTGCAAGCTAAGGTACCATTGTACTCTGTTTACGTACTTCTGTACAACAAGAGGAAAATACGCTTCCCTCTACAGAATAAAAAATATTATAACATAAAATATAGTTAACAGTAAGGTAAAACTGGAAGAAAAATATTTAACTGGAAGCTAGCACTACTGTTTTAAAACAAATATCTTATTTTTAGAGCAGTGGACCTGCTGATAATGCTGAGCATATATACTTTGATTTTGGAAAAAAAATGAGCACATATTGAAACTGCATTTGAAATATTGTGCTCAGTGTATCAAAAGAATTATCTACCAAATTCACTATGATGGCAGTTTGCCGGATGGAAAAATGCCTGTTGCAGGATGAAACAGCAAGAAAATTAAATATTAGTTATACTGTTCTCAAAATGCTATAATTATGGAATTAATTCCTAAGTGAGTCTTCTGTTACAAAAAGAGCAAGTTAGGTAGTTATGTGGTTACATCACCTTCTTATACCTGCTAACTAAACATTATAAGGCAGACAATGTTCTGGAACTGCTTCTCAGCTTGCTGCCAATAATTTTATACCTACAGGAAGATAACTATGTGCTTCAAGCGTAAACAGATATATTATTTTTTACTGCCGACTACATTTCTAAAGCACCCCGATCTGGCTACCAACATATACTTTATAATGGAACAAACTCACTGCGCCATGCCCCTTCAACAGTGTGTGAAAGTCTGCTTCATTAGGTAAAGAAGCAAGGCTCCTTCTGTTTGAAACTTTTGCTATGAGTACTGGGACGAAGTTCTTAATCAGCATTTTATAGAATCATTTGCTACCGCCGTAAATAATTTAATCATTTTAATGGTCAATAATAATTTTAATGGTCGCATAGAGTAACTGTAAGCAAGTGGAATATTCAGCGAATGGGTCTAGCGACACGATCAGCATACATGAATTCAGTTTATGACTTATGAAAAACCACCTACAAAGACATGTTGCTAGCATGGCCCCCTTCCAAGATCATTAAATAAACTGAAAAAAGAGGGAGACATGCTTGTGCTTCTCCGGACTGAAGTGTTTGGTAACTTGATTCTTTTGCATGGAGAGCAGATTCCAAGTTTGTGTTCACGACAGAAGTGGACAAACTCTCTATTGGAAGTAATTTTTTCGTCCTTTATTTATACAAAATGCTTTTCATTCCTCATGAAATTTTTTCAAAAGCAACAGTTTGTAGCTTTTAGAAATAAGATTGTGTTATCTGTACTTGAGCTAAGTGTTATACCTTATCGTAACAATTATGGTCTAAAACCTGTTTTCCGTTAACTTTGGTAAGGCTGTGTAAAAATAATTAGGTCTTGAAAAGTCGTAAAAATAGTTCAACAGAAATTAACATAAGCTCGGACAATTAATAGGACGGAAAAATGCAAAATTAAACTATAAGAAGGTGTTATGAAAATCTGAGATTAAAATAAAATCCGATGAATATGCCACTGAAAATACTGACATACTGAGCCCTTCATAAGAAAAACTGAAAATATTAAAATTGTTATGTCATATCTGGAAAAAAGAGATATGTTAATGTAAATCATACAAAGACTTATAAAATTTTTAAAGCAGAATACTTTATTAACAGGGAAGAAAATAACATACAAAATTTATACGAGATCATGTGACTATCCTGCTAGTTTAGTTCATTACACGTAGCCTACGATAGCAGCAATTGTGTTATGAGAAACATGCCATCAGGAAGTTGTAAGATATCTAATTCACTTATTTTGCTATGTCTGCTGAGAATTTATAAAGATTAAGGGAAAAAAAAATACTTGGTGGAAGTTTCTGATAAGATGTGAGATATCTAAAGTTCAGTACTCCAACCAACACGACCTGAGTAACATAATCCGATAACTTGACCTCACGAAGTGCTGAGATTTTGATATCTGGGTTCAAGCTTTGGAAATGTTGGAGATGAATGTACATGTCTTTCCCAAGGGAAGTGTCAACAAGCTTTTCTATATTCTTTTCTCGATAAGGCGCATCTCTTTTGCAAAATTCAAAATAGTAACAGTA